TGGAAGATCTCTGTGCATTGTTGGGGCAACCTAACAAAAAGATATTTATTTTATATATCATTCTTGTATCTGTCCGTCATTTGACTCTGTTATAATATTACTTGTCTCTGATTGGCAGGTTAAAAAAAGAAAGAGAATTGAGGTCAAGAGAAAATAAGATGCATGGGCTCTGAAATTTATGGATTTTATACTTGGTGCCAATAAATTATTATTTGATGGATTAATACGCGAATTACCACTGTAAGTTGGTTCCTTGAAATAATTTCCATCCTTAGATCCTCTTTCTTAGGAAAGGTTTTTGTTATGCTAGTTGTGTTTTGCATGGATAAGTTTTTGATCATATTAAGCCATGAGAAGGATTAGTCATGTGGGAAGTATGAATTACTTTGTCCTTAGTGTAGGATATATTTCAAATGAGTTGGATAATACAGTAGTAATGTAGTTGTTTTGGAAATTTCCTAGGAATTGTTGTGATCCAACTTTTATCAGCTCCTGTACCCTGATTGACTGTGTTTATGGTTCTGAATTGTGAGAGAATTCTATGAACAATGAATTGGCTTCTAGATCAAACTCTTATTTTAAAAGACCATGTTAAACCCTTATATTGACCATTTTTTGAACACAAGTTTACTGTAGGTTATAAATGGGCCTGGATTGGATATCACTTATGTTTCTGGAATCATGCTTTACTGTGCTATTAATCTTTCCTTTCAATAAAATATTGTAAAGAGATAATCTATGTTTGTGTAGTTGGTGGTTCTTTCTTTTTTATTTTTTTTTTATTTTTATTTTTTAACTTGCTTTAGTTTTAGTCTTTTTTACTTTCCACTGATATCGGATATGGGTCTTGGTTCTTGTTCATAATTTTTGCTTTACCCAGTTGTATTGGAAATATTTGTTATGCCACAGAATAGGCTTTGTTGAAGGTATATGGTTGGTAGGAGTGCTTGATGAGATCCTGATGCCAACTACAGAAACCGAAAGAAATGTGACATTAGTAGAAACGAAAACTCGTTCGCAAACGACAATTCCTTCTGAACCACAACTACGGAATGCAAGGTATACATGTTCTCATGGGTTTTGTTATGATGCTGTTAGTAACACCTCAGGACCTTTAGTAAAAGCATTTTAGCGTTGTGCCTTTTTTAGGTATATTTTGTTTTCAGGCTCAAAATGATATTTTCATGGAATTGAACATTTATTTTGCAGGCTTCAATTAATGTGCTACAAATATTTGTGGGACAATTTGGTTGCTGATAACTTCCCCTCCTGACAATTTTTTGAATTCTTTTCTTTGGATCCCCATTATATTTTATGTGAAAAAATCAGAGAGACTACTACTAAGTCAGGTTTTCCTGCTGAGGTAACAGATCTCTTCTCATTGAAAGTATCTAGTTTAAGTTTTATGTTGTTTAAAAAAGTAGAGATGTTTTAGTGCATGTTGGCTGATAATTCACAAATTTTATTTGACGTTTCAATCTCCATTCTACTTTGAGGGGCACCTCCTGATTTAGGAAATGATCAAATCCTGAGTGTCTGACCATATCATCACTAATATTTGAATAGCATACCATATTTTAAAAAAATGCAAATTATGAGTTCATTTACTAAGAACTACTACAAGCACCATCCCACAATATTGATGATTCTTTCAGTCACTTACTGGACATTAAAACAAGTTATATTCTAGCGTATTCCTTCCTTTTTAGTTTTTACCAATGTGCAGGAGCTTCCCTTTGTTGTATCACATCGAGCATTGTTTGCTCATCCAAAAGGTTATTGATAAAAAAAAAGGTCTGGTTTCTCCATGCCTCTAAACCCCCCGCCCCTGTGACACACACACACCACCACCACAAATAAATAATAAAAAAATTAGGGTTAAGTGCAAAAAACACCTTCCTTAGATACAAAAGGTGCAAAAAACTCCCTACTATTTTTTTAGTGCAAATAACTCCCTACTAGATTTTTCAGTGCAAATTACCCCCTAATCAACCATTTTGACCATTTCATGTTTAACAAAATCCCAAAATGCCCTCCTAATCCAGTGAAATCCATCGCCCGGCGAACACCATTTCCGGCCAACACCATTTTCCGGTGACAAGTGTCCCAACTCCGGCGAGCCTCAATCCATTAAAAACCCATCAGAAAGACCAAAGAACGGCAAGCTTGGCCAAAACAGAAAGACCAAGCTTCGAGTTCGGCGAGTCTCGTGGCCTTCATTAACCCAGCTTCAACAGCGAGCTCCATCAACCCAGCTTCAATATGGTGAAGCTCCAAGCAACGCACCTGTCTGGCGAAGTCTCATTCCTCGCACCACGTCGTCTTTGATGACCAAGCTGTTCAAAACCACCTAGATATGTTGTCTTGGTGGAGCTAGAGCTAGAATTAAATGTATCATGATGTGAATTAAATAATTTAAAAGTCTTTTGGTGGCTGGAATGTTCAAAATGTTTTCATGCCAAGCCAATCATACCAAAGGTCTTTAAACCAAGAGGAACTTTAGGAAACATAATCCTGCCAGTATGGGTACAGAAATATTGAATTAGATAGAATGTCAAGAAAAACTAAGAACAGGAAGTTGACTGACTCTTTAATGGTGCTTGCTGGAAATTGTGTTCGCCGGAGATGGGCTTTCACCGGACAAGGAGGGCATTTTGGGATTTTACAAAAAGGAATTGGTCAAAATGACTGATTAGGGGGTAATTTGCACCAAAAAATACAGTAGGTGGTTATTTGCACACAAAAAAATAGTAAGGGGTTTTTTGCACCTTTTGTATCTAAGGAGGGTGTTTCTTGCACTTAACCCAAAAAATTAATACCATCACCAAAGCCAAAACAAAAAACTCCCAATGTGGAAGAATTGGCCTTCTTTGTTTGTTGGGACTTCCAAGATATGACATACAGTCAGTTTATCTCATCAAGTAATGTTTATTACTTGTTATTTTTGCCTGCGCAGACCCTCTATGATTTATTGAGGTGCTTCAGAAATACGTGTTGCATGCAGTCTCCTGCTCATGACAAGCTACTGCTGAGGTGAGTACCAAGGCTGGAGTTAGTTTTTATAATTCTTCCCCATTGGCAAGAGAGTTTCTGGGGATTTTTACATCATTGGAATGCTTTTATGGCATGCAATTTTTTTATGCAAATAATTTGGAATCCACCTTTCCTATTTGTAAAGCCCTTTTTTTTCAGCGGTTTGGGCAATTTCAATTCTCAGGTTTCAAGGTATATTAACTCTGACGTTTCAACTGTAGCAGTTATAACTCTTCCTTTAGATGATTCCTGAAAGGCCCATGAGTACCTCTCAGTTAGAGGCCAGTTACATCCCCGTCATGACTCGTGCCAGTTGAGATTAAATTCTATAACATTAGATGGTTTTTTAGGTGATCTTCACATGCCTGGAATCCACAGTCCATGCATTTGATGATATTTGGCTCTGTTTGTACACCACTTGTTAACAAGAGTATTCTTTGGTTTTCGTCCAGATATGAACTCCAGAAAAATAACTCATTAATTACTGAAGATGAATTCGCATATGATCCTGAGTGGCTTAAGGGTCAAATCCAGTGTTCCCCTGTGTTTTGGATGGGAGGACGAGAAGCGAATTACACACCGATGGAGGAGCGTTGGAAGTGCAGGTTTTGTCGTTTTGCTAAAACATGTCCAGCAAACACCAACAGCGAAGGTACAGAAAACTAGAGTACCTACATTATTCTCTCATGTTGGATTCAGTTTCCTTGATCAGTGGCAATTTCCTGAGAAGAATCGACAATTTTAAGACGGCCTGATGGCTTCTTGACTTGCAGCGTATGTGTGGCAGGCAATGTGGCTGTGCTTATCATGTAACCATTTTTTATAAGCCTCTTCCATAGGCTGTGATGATTTATTGTTGAAGAAATTCAAATTAACAATTAATTTTAAATTATAATGTTCAAGTAATTGTTTGTTGTGTCACCTTTTCTATCTCATGCCTTGTATGTATAGGCCTCTGTTGCAGGCTCTGACTGTTCTTATTGATAGTCCCCTACGATTCTTGAAACCAGACCATTTGAATTAGGTTAGGTAGTAGTTGAAACCATTAAGAGGTTGCTCCATTCAGTTTGAGTTTTTTTTTTTATAAAAAGGACTAACCGAGTGCACGAGCCTCAGGTTTGAAGGGGATCAAATGTATGCAGCCTTACCTTCACGTGGAGAGGTTCTTCTTCCTGTCCGTGTTTTTAAAGAGAACCAATGCTAATTTTTGAACGGTTATCGGTTTGTCTGAAATTAATTACTATAAATTTCTTTAGATGGAAGTATAATTAAAGTAAAAATGTAAAGGCAAATCCATTTCGAAATTTAATTTTAATAATGCAAGTACAGAGCCCCTTCGCTTCTTTTTTCACGCACGTGTAGGGGATGGATTGTTACAAAACATTAAACCTCAGGAATTGTCAATATAAAATTTAGACTTGCGTAACTTTATTTTTTGGTCACTATGAATACTAGTTGTGTATAATAGAATCAACATTCTCTTTAGGACACTTGTATTAAGGATATTTTTTAGATTGCTAAGAATAACCCAACAACCAGTAAGACCTATTGTTGAATTGATCTTATTTTTCTCTAATACGCTATAAAATAGAAGTCGATTTTAACTCTGTACAATTTTTTTGTTGTTCTACTGATAAATAAATAACAAAGTTGTGTAAAAACAAATGTCGTGTATCGATTTTAATTACCTTTATGCACAATAGAATCAACATCCTCCTCAATACACTTGTAGTCTATAGTGCGTCAGTACACTTGTATTCTATAGTGCATTTAGATTACCCTCTCCTAATACATAGAGAGAATTTCTACAAATAAATAAAAAAATATTTTAGGTCAAAACCAAACAATTATTTTGTGATTCAACTAGTACATAACATAATTGTGTATCAATACAAATTATTATTTATTATTATTATTTTTCAGAATGCATAATTTAGAGAAAATCAATGATTCTTAATTATTTAAATATGCTCTAATTTAAAATATTTTTAAAACCTAAATTTTCAAAATGACACTGCCCAGACCAGTAGCACCTGTATCCATGGCGATGACAACGGTGGGTTATAAACTCCGTTGCTGAATCGCTCAAATGACCCAGTCACCGACTCAGTCTTCTCCCAACACAAACAACGACCAAACAACTACTCCTCACATCCCAACAGAGATCGTGAGCGAAGAAGAGATGGCCCTCATTGAAGCCGCCTTAGCCTCGGCACTCTCGTCATCTTCATCCTCTCTCTTCTCTCCTCTCTCTTCGACTCTGTTTATGCGAAATGCGAGGTCGATTTCGTCCCTTACTCTGCTCACCAAAAAAAGGAGGTTGTCGGATTGTGCGGAGACCAGTTCGGTGGGTGACATAGAGGACTTGGGTAATTGTACAGAGAGTACCCAGAAGACGAATGAAGTCTCTGAATCGTTTTTCCATCGGTTTCGAAGGAAAAGAGGGTTATTTGTCACTGATATTACCGCGACGGTATGATTTTTTTGTTTTTGTGTTTCGTTCTGTTTTGGGTTTTAGGAAATGGGATTCTTCTGTTTTTGCTAGATTTGATGTTTTTTCGCTTTATGGTTTGATTTTTTTTTTTTTTGGCCTAAATTTTGGAGTATAAATTCTGTTTGAATTTGAACCATTTGTAGATAAATGATTTGCAGTAGTTGTTGCAAGAATTTCAATGGTAGATTTTTAATGTAGATTGTTTTACCCAAAAGATACATTTTGTTTTTGATGGAATATTCAGAGTGGAGTAGGTCTAGGTGATGCATTACATTTTGGTTTTGATATTACACTTACATGTCTTTGTACAAGTTTCTTCTGTTTTTCCGAATTTCTGTTGTTTAATGTGAATACATTATTTCACTGGTTTTTGGCAATTAGAGTAGTCAATCCATAAGGGCAATCTATTCATGTAATTAATTCACTTCACTGCTGTTGATTGGATCTAAACTGCAACTGTCGATTTACTTCACTGCTGTTGGCAAATCCAGTGACTGCTATCATAGAGAAGCTTTTATCTATTCCCTAGCTGCTAGCCCATTTCTTTTGTTTCAGAATTTGATTAAAAAAAAAAAGCTTTAACAAGTTGGATTTTTTTTTTTCCATCTATGATCGTAGGCCTAGTCACACTCACAAGAGAATATCTCAGAAATCAATGGTTTCAAGTATGGATAATGGAAAACTAGGATTCAAGTAGTTAGAAAAAAGCTTTTTTTTTTTTTTTCCCTAGCAAAGAACTCCCACAACGCGCTTGGGGAGACTCAAACCCTCTACCTTTCACTTTGAAAGGATAGGACACATCACTAGGCTTCATAGGAAAAAGCTTCGTTGGATTGAGTTATAAATGAATATCAAAGATTTTCTTGTGGGGATTATTTCAAATTTTGTTCATGAATGTAAGAAAATCCAAAAAAACAAAACAAAAAGAAAAAAAGAAGCATCTTCTGTAAATACTATAAAACTAACAAGGGTTTTTACATTTCTTACAAATATAAAAATGTATTCATAATACTTTTGTGTGGCATATTTTCTTATAGAGTCTGGTTGAATGGGTCTTGCAACTTGAAATAAATACAATGACGGGAAAATAAAAAAGAGCAACTAGTAGTTGCAATAAAGAGCTTTTGACCTTCTCTTTAGGTCACCTGCCCAGCTCTCACTTTTATTTGTATCTAGATTAGTGTGTGTTATATGCTTTACAGTACTTGAATGCTACACTTGTCTATCTTCCATTTGATGACATGAAAACTGTCAATAATCTGAGAATGTCCATCTAGAATTTGAAAATTTTTTATAGTTGAAATAGCAACTGTCTCCAAATTCGCTTTCAATTCATCAGTCTCTGAGTTGGGAGCTGACCCGTCCACCCAGGTGGCGAATAATGCTATTTAGGTCACAACTATCCTTTGCTTTTATTTCTTTCCTTTTCCTGCTCCGCTTCTCTAGATATCCAAACAAATGTAAGGTTAATACTATTCTTTCCTTTCTGTTTTTTCTCTCATAAATAATGTCTTCCTTCCCTTTACATTTTTCTTTCTTCATGTCTTGCAACACATCCTTAATTCTTTAAATATGTTGATCTTCATCTCATTATTCTTTTGGCTTGGAAGGTCTTAGCGTCTTGCATTTGGTATTTTTTAATGTTAAATTATTGATAATCTTCTTAATTCAACTCAACTCAAAAAATCCTTTTTCCCAATCATTTAGATGTTGATTACACAAATCTGTTTTTTTCTTCTTTTTTTTTCTTTTTTTTTTCCCCAGTGGTTTTCCTCTTCTCCTATCACTCCTCTCAATATGGACCATATCATTTTTTTTCTCATTGATGCAATTATTGGTCTTCACTATGCAATGCTAAGTAGTGTTAATTGATTTCTTTAATATTATCTCTACTTGGTACTATTTGAAATTTTTGGTATTCCCCTGCAGTGAATACTTGTCTTTTTTAATTTTATTTTAGAGCAAGGAACTTGATCAAGTTTATATAATATTTGTTCTTGTTCATTAACATTAGGAGTGGTGTGAGAAACAAATGGAGTTCACTCTACTCCTTGGTAAGCCAAAAACCACTAGTGCAATGAAAGCTGGTAGTGCGCGTCATGCAATGCTTGAAGAAGAGGTATATTTTTAAAATCTTGATACCATTAAACTTCTTTCCATGTGTGTATGCTTTCTACTTCCACTACCTTTGAGTTTCTTGCATATAGCTGCTGGGCATGGTTCATTTACTTCCTGATATCGTAACTCATTTTATGAACTTTTCATCATCTTCCTGAAGTTAAAAAAGTTAAAAAGTCTTTCTTCTTATTTTAAAGATTTCTGTGCATTTTCGGGGCAGCCTATAAAAAAGATACTGTTTTCTATGTGTCATCCCTTGTATCTGTTCATCATTTGTATCTGTTATAATATTATTTGTCCCTGATTGGCAGGTTATAAAAAGAGTAACAATTCGTGGCGAGTCAGAGGAAGATGCATGGGCTATAAAATTTATAAATTTTATACTTGGTGCCAATCAATTATTATTTGATGGATTAACACGTGAGTTACCACTGTAAGTTGGTTACTTGGGATTTCTTAATCAATATCCATCCTTAGATTCTCTTTCTTTAGAAGTTTTTTTCGTTACAGCATGCTAATAATATTCTGCATGGATAAGTTATTGCTCATATTAAGCCACGAAAAGGCATTAGTCATGTAGGAAGGATGAGGTACTTTGTCCTTGGCGTGGGATATATTTGAAAATTGAGTTGGTTAATAAGGTAGTAATGTAATTGTTTTTGGCAATTTCCTTGGAATTGTTGTGATCCAACTTTTATCGGCTTCTGTACCCTGATTGGATGACTGTCTATATGGTTCTGAATTCTATGAACAATGAATAGGCTTCTAGATCAGACCCTTAGAATCTTAGATTGACCATAACTTGGACACAAGTTTACTTTAGGTTATAACTGGGCCTGGATTTTGGTTTCTATTTTTGTTTTTGGAATCATGTTTTACTGTGTTATTAATCTTTCACCTATATGAAATATTATAAAGAGATAATCGATGTTGGTGTAGTAATCTTTCCTTTATATAAAATATTATAAAGAGATAAAATCTATTTTGGTGTAGTTGATGGTTCTTTATTCTTTTCAATTTCTTTTTTGCTTGCTTTGTTTTTAATTTTTTTACTCTCCACTTATCGGATATGGGTCTTGGTCTTGTTCATAATGTTTGTTTTACCCTACTCTATTGGAATTATCGGTTATGCCACCAGAATAGGATTTGTTGAAGGTATATGGATGGGGGGAGTGATTGATGAACTCCTGATGCTGACTACAGAAACCGAAAGAAATGTGACATTAGTAGACACAAAAACTCGTGTGCGAGCGACAATTCCTGCTGAACCACAACGAAGGAATGGAAGGTATGCACGTTCTCATGGTTTATGTTTTGATGCTGTTAGTAACACCTCAGGACCTTTAATATAATTTATTTTCAGAGAATGATAATTCATGGAAGTGAACATTTATTTGGCAGGCTTCAATTAATGTGCTACAAATATTTGTGGGACAATTTGGCTGCTGATAACTTCCCCTCCAGACAATTTTTTGATTTCTTTTCTTTGGATCCCCATTCTATTTTATGTGAAGAAATCAGAGAGACTACTGCTAATTCAGGTTTTCCTTCTGAGGTAAAGATCATCTCTCCTCATTTAAAGTATCTAGTTTATGGTTTATGTTACTTCAAAAAAAAAAAAGTGATGTTCTAGTGCATGTTGGCTGATAATTTACAATTTTTGTTTGATATTTCAATCTCCATCATTCTATTTTTAGGGGCACCTCCTGATTTCCTATGACTCTATCATATCATCACTAATATTTAAATAGCATACCAGATATATGCAAATTATGAGTTGGCTATGAGAATGAGTTCCTTTCCAGCTAGTTCATTTACTAAGAACTACGACGATCACCATCTCACAATAATGAGGATTCCTTCTGTCACTTATTGGAAATTATAACCAGTAATATTATAGCATATTCCTTCCTTTTCAGTTTTTATCAACGTGGAGGAGGTTCCCTTTGTTATCACTTCATGCAATTGTTTGTTCATCCAAAAGGTTATTGACATTAGAATTAGATTGGCATGTATTAGTGCATACTTATGTAATGGCTAAAAATATTTTGAAGGGCTTTTAATTTGACCAAAGATGAAGAGGCTGTGGAAGAGACTGAGATTTAGATAGGTTTGGTTTCTCCATGCCTCTAACCCCTCCTCTTCCCCTCCCCCTTTCCTTCAAAAGAAGATAAATAAATTAATTAATTAAAACCATCACCAAAACCAAAACAAAAAGTCCAATGTCGAAGAATTGGCCATCTTTGTTTGTTGGCACTTCCAAGATATGACATATGTATGTCAGTTTATCTCATCAAGTAATGTTATTTTTGCATGTGCAGACCCTCTATGATTTATTGAGGTACTTCAGAAATACGTGTTCCATGCTGTCTCCTGCTCATGACCAGCTACTGTTGAGGTGAGTACAAAGACCAGAGTTAATTCTTATAATTCTTCCCCATCGGCGAGAGACTTTCTGGGGATTTTACATCACTGGAATGCTTTCAGGGCATACAAATTTATTATGCAAATAACTTGGAATCCACCTTTCCGATATATAAAGGCCTTTTTTCTTTTCTTTTCTTTTTTTTGAGTAGTTTTCGGCATTTCAATTCTCTGGTTTTAAGTTATATTAATTCAAAGTTTCAACATATCAGTTATAATTCTTCCTTTAAATGATTCCTGAAAAGCCTACGAGTACCTCTCTCTCAGTTGGGCCAATATACTCCCTCCTCTCCCTTCCCATCCCTCCCTCTCATGCCGTTGAGAAGCCTTGCCCAACTGCCCAGTTGAGATTAAATTCTATGACATTAAATTGCTTTTTTAGGTGATCTCATATGCTCGGAATCTGCAGTCCATGCATTTGAAACGATATTTGGCTTTGTTTGTAGACCACTCACTTATTTGTAAGAGTATTTTTTGGTTTATGGCCAGATATGAACTCCAGAAAGATCATTCATTGCTTGCTGAAGATAAATTTACTTATGATCCCGAGTGGCTTAAGGGTCAAATCCAGTGTTGTGTCGAGTTTTGGCTGGGAAAGCGAGAAGCGAATTGCACACCAATGGAGGAGCGTTGGAAGTGCAGATTTTGTAAATTTGCTTCCACGTGTCCAGCAAACACCAACAGTGAAGGTACACAAAGCTAGTGTAAGATGCAAGCAGGCTTCACCCCAACATTTTCCACTTGTCCGGTTGTTGCTGAGCAGTTTTGAATATCAAATGGGCCTCCCCAAAAGGTAATTTTAATGTGGCCGATTTCCCCACTTTTGCAATCAGTTTCGCTACAGCACCCTTGTTTCTTCGTTACATGCTCTCAGACTAGAAGCATGCGTGGCAGGTCATGTGGCTAATGCTGATGATCATGTAATATTTTTTTACAAGCCTCTTCCGTGGCCTGTGATGATTCATTGTTGTAGAAATTCAAATTAATCATTAATTTTTAAATTATTATGTTCACGAGGCTCTGACGGTTCATTCTGGTGAAAAATGCAATTGTTAGCTGTAAGTACCTAAATTTTATTTTATTTCCAAGACTCAGTAGGCTATGATGCCTTGCTGTTCTAAACATGGCTTAGTCAATAAGAGGGAGGATCCTTCCACTGACTTCATACAAGAAATCAACTTTGATAAATAATAATAATAAAATAAAAATTGGGAAATTGAAAAAAAGGTCCATCATTATAAATATTTGTAAATATACGCATATGAAGTAGGGTAGGGTTAGGATTCGAGTTAAACTTGGATTGCTCAATCTGGGATATGTTTTGGGTGGGTGACACTAACCAAATTTTGTGTTGGGGCTTTTCAACCTTAGTTCAATTCGAATTGTAATTGTATTTAGAAACGAGTAAATTACAAAGGTGCTGCATTCGCGTGAAGGGAAAGAATTAGAATTTGGATTAAATGGAACAAAAATAAAATCCCTTCACATTAATCAATCCCAGTGCAACCTAAAGAATATTTAGGTCCCCATTCACCATCAGAAAATGAATAAATATACCAAAAAGAAGGCAAAAGAGTTGAAGATAAAAATAAAGGCAGCTAATATGTAAAGCTACAACAAGGACATCAATCCACAAACTATTATTCCATGCCAAAGATCCCAACCCCACCTTTTGGTTTGATAACAAACCAATTGCAGAAGACAACAGATTGGGAGACTACTAGGTTTTGAGGTAGCACAGTATGTTTTCGGATCCTGAGATTTTTGAGTTACCGTCATCAACTCTTGCATTTGAACATAAATGCTTTGAATCATTCAATGAATGTAGTAGAGTTTGAAAGAACAAAATGCTTGCTTCTAAAAGACTCGTTTAACATTCAATGATTCTTTCTCCTCTCTCTCTCTCTCTCTCTCTCTATTGGAGAGGCTAAAAGAGGAACTCAAAGACAAGTATATTGTAATTCAAATTCTTCAAAATACCCAAGACACAAGAACATAAACGATTTAGTTCGTCCTTCTTTTATTCTTAAGAACGAGGACAAAACAGGGATGAACATGAAATACTTCAGCTATCAAAGGTGGTGGTCCATGGTCCAAGAACCGACAAGCTGATCTGAATTTAATAGCCCCAATAATCATTTCGGATTTCATCATCAAACTTCTCCTTTAGCCCGGGATGCTTCTGAAAGTAATCTTCTGCAGTCATGGTGCTAAGATTTTTCTGTTACATTCGAACAATTGCATGAGATTACTACCAAAAAAAAAAAAAAGGAACGGAAACCATCTTTACATCACCTTCAGCTCTTGGACTTCTGCAATTTCTTTTTCCAATCTTTCAGACTCCTTCAAGGATTTCTGTTCTGCTTCTTTCAGTTCCACCAACTGTAACTCACAGCACACTTTTGTTAGATGGTTCTCCATATTTTAAAGATCATGCTCAATTCAACTAAATCCTCCTTTTCACATGCAATGTTATGCACCATTTAAAATATATTTATCTAAAAGTTTTGCTAAACTTGCAAACATAAATATGAACTACTCATAACGATTTGACCTTTCATTTGATGTTAATATAATTTTCTGTTCTTGTTTCAGTTTCTCAAGAAATGTGTGCATCTGACTTACTGCCAAGTTCATTTTCTTTTCCTGGGGTCTTAAGACATCCAGGATGTCGCAATTCAATTTATCTTTTCTCACTAGTAAAATAACAGCTGTTTTTAGAGTTCTGCAGTAGAAAAAGATAAATCAATTGAGATATAACAAAAGCTTCATCTTTAGAAGTGTTTAGTATGAAAAATTAGGAGGAAGGATGGCAATGGGGCTGTTTGGGGTAGAGAATGCCATCCCCATCCCCATTTAGAATAGCTACCCCTATCCCCGCCCCAAAACCGTTTACTAAACGGGGCGGGCGGGTTTTGTAGAGTATTTTCGTAATTGTAATACGAATCTAACAAAAGTAAATAATAAAACAAATTTTCAACTATGATAATAATTTTTTTTCTCTTATGTGGATAAAAACAAGATTAAACTTCTCAATTGAAACTTAAGACTAAAATTATTGTTGAAACATCAAAATAATAATAGAAGTTCTCAAATAAGAATAATTCAAAAATAATAATTACTGATTGGAATAAAATAAACTAGGATTTGCTTAATATATGCCTAATATTATTGAATATAAAATAAAGTATTAAGGACAAAATTATAATTTATCACTATAAATGGGGTGGGACAGGTTAAATTTCCCCATCCCAGCCCCATAATCACGTGGGTTTTCAATCCTAACCCCCATCCGCACCCCAAAATTATTTAACCACCCCCATAACCGTTCTAAACGGGGCGGGGTATTTTGCCATCCTAGGAAGGAGTAATGAGTTCTTTATTTTTTTTTATTTTTATAAAGAGTTCAATAATAACTACTATCAAGTAAAAATCACTTTCAGTTCTCACCAGTGCATCAAACTTGGGTTTGTACTCAGGAGTGACCTTATCCTCATACGTCGGGATTTTAATATCTGCGGAACAATGAATAGTTCAAATACAATAAAGCAATGTCAACACAAAATAAAGTTAGCAGACAAAGTAGGCATTAAATCAGGTGCAGACGCTAGTTTGTTCCAATGGTATACTACCAAATATGATCTCCTTAATTAGTATAACCGTCTGCTGACTAGGGGTGCACACGGTTCGGTTCGGTATGGTTCCTGCTGGAACCGGAACCGGAACCGGTCTGAACGGTTCCTAAAAAATGGAACCGGAACCATGAGCAGCGGAACCGAACCAGAACCAAACCGTTTTCACGTTTCGGTTCCATGGAACCGTTGACCAAACTGAGACCAGATCTGAGAAGACTTTCGCCGAGACATCGGCTAAATCCTCAACAAGTGCTTCGCAAATCTCCGGCCACAGTCCACCCCTCTTCCTTTCCAAGGCTTGATATGAAAGAAACATCATTCGCAAAAAAAAAAACAGAAATATATGGGTTTTGATTACAAAACAAGAATTACAGACCTTTATATATATATATATATATATATGCATACACAAAAAAAAAAGATTACACTTGATTTTGGTTTGCAAAACAAGAATTACAGACCTTGATTTAGAAAAAAAATTAAACAAAAACGCATACATACAAGTTAGCAGTTGCACAAAGAGGGGGGCAAGCGTGAGAGTTGAGAAACAGCGGCTGAAGCTTGCGAACGGCGAACCCGAACTGGAACAGCGGGCGATGGAAACTGAAAGATATGGGTTTTGATTTTTTGAACAATCTTGAAATGATATGCCGATATGGGTTTTGAACTTTTGATTCTTGCAGACAGATCTGAAATATATGGGTTTTGAACTTCTGATTCTTGTAGATTTTGTAGATCTGAAATATATGGGTTTTGAACTTCTTATTATTGTAGATTTTGTAGTTTGCAGTTGCAGAGAGAGACGGACAGAGAGAGAGAGAGAGAGACTGACAGAGAGAGAACAAGAATAGAGATGGAGGCGCTTGGGGAGGCTGAAATGATTTCCCTAAAAATATTTTGTTTTAAAGGTTTATAAATTAGAGTTATTAATATTAATAATATAATCAAATATAATATATATATATATATATATATATATATATATATATATTATGGTTCGAACTGAACCGTGAGACTGGAACTGGAACCGAACTGAATCTCAACGGTTCCTCATTTTAGGAACTGGAACCGTGAGAACCGGAATTTTGGTTCTGGTTCTCACAGTTCTATTGTGCACCCCTACTGCTGACTTTTTTTTTTTGGCGTTTAGGAGGGGGGGTTGTGGTTGGGCACAAAATGTTTTTTTTTTTTTTTTTTTTTTTTGCGTTGGGTGGGGGGGTTGGCCACAAAATGTAAGGACTGTCCTAGTGGACAACACTCCTGCCATTGCTGGACTTGGGGAGGGTCAGATATACGTAGCCTTACCTCCGGATGGAGAGGCTATTTCTAGTTTTGAACCCGTCAGTCGCAATGGAGCAACTTTACTGTTGCACCAAGGCCCACCCTCTCAAAATGTAATAATATATAAGAGCTTGAGAGTGTTAAAATTGGGATCACGTATTGAAGGCCTCGCTAGAGTTGTTTCTTTTAGGCCCAATGTCAGGTGTTCGGTTCAAGTCAGAAGTCAGCATATGATCTAAGAAGCATGGACAAGGATACAGATAACACAAATATAGAAATAAAGTAAAAATATGTGTAAGACAGTATAATATATTCAGTCATTAGTTAAATAAGTTAGTTTTGTTATTAACTTATTATCAATTGCAAATACAATAACATGTTAAAAATCATTAAAATATACCAGAGTATCATTCTAAACCTTCATTTCTTACAATTCTTTGCCTTCTTGAATGCATAATACTGTGCTAAAGAAAAATAAGGCAGAGAATCAGTTTAAGAAGACAATACCAACAAACTGAATCAACACCCCCAGCCCTAGTTAGAAAAGAACCCGATTTAAGGAAATTTCACACCCAAAAGAATCTCTATTTCCATGTAGAAAGCAGCCATAGAACACAGTATATATATATATATATAAAAAGAAGCAAAAGGATGTATATTAGGAACTTAAAGAGCATAACAAAAAAAAAAAAAAAAAAAAGGAATTTAAAGGGCATACTATCATATGCTTCTTTGTACATATCAACCACCCGAGAGCCAATTCCTTTCCTGTAATATTCCCAATCTACGGGTTCTGGTTCCTGCATAATTTAAAAAGTAAAATCAGTAATGATTGATATTGGAAGATTAGCAAAATAAATCAAATCAACAATCTGCAGCATAAAATCGCTCTATCATAATCAATTAAAAATCCAAGTAGATTTTGAAGTAGAAACAAATACTGGTAGAGAAAGGCAAGGACTAATAACCAAAACGGGATATTAGATTACTGTGCAAAGAATGCAACCACTCACGAAAAGCCTCAGAGTGTGGCAATTATACTTCAAATTGTGTGAATACGCCAGTAATATCTTACAAAAAGCTCACCGTTTTGCTAATTTCAATTGACCAGAGTGACTCCATAGCTTTCAGAAACACCAAAACATATCATGAGGTATAACTAACAAAATTTAATACTATGGTAACTTAACTTGAAAACCTCTCAGGAATGTATGAAACATAAGCATATTTTTTGTTGAAAAAAACAATTGTCCACAAGCATCAATATACAATATACGTCAAGAAAATCAGAATATCAGGAGCTTAAAATAGTCAAATCACAGCCTTGATGTAGCTCAGTTCTAGTTCACCAAAAATTACATGCTTTTGATGGGTAGACTCAACACAATCATTATCAGTTATAATTTTGAGAAAAACTTCACATGGCAAGCACAAAATTTCAAAAGATATAAATGTTTAGAGAAATATAATCTTTTCCTTGTACAAGAAACATGTTGGAAGGATATTCAAAAATAGATCACAGTACATCAACTCCAAACTCAGACAATTTGTTGGAAATGATATTTTTTTGAAATTAAACAGCCCATTAAATATAATATACAAGATGGTAGTAGAACTTCCATAAAACAAAAAAGTCTTCAAAATTAAATTTTGAGCTAGGCCTTGATCAAAGAAAAAAGGAAGAAATAGAAAAGGTTGGAAGGAGAGAAAAAAAACACTTTAAGCTCTCCAACAAGGAAAAAGTAAAGCTAAAGATCTGATTGGTTTAGTTTTGTGATGAAAGTTTGTTGCTCTTAGAGAACTAAGAAAAGAAAAAAAATATAACAGTTCAAAATTTTGTTTGAATGACACTTTTCTGCAAACTACTTTTTCAAAATAGATAAAATAAAATAAACAAATCTCTATTTCAAAAAACTGTTTATTTTTAAGCTCAAAAATGTTTTTAGTTTTCAAATTTCTTGAAAACTGAGCCAAGAAGACCTTAATTTTAGCTCCTTGGTAAACAAAAAGATAACTCAAGTTAGTCAATATAAAAATGACCTTGACAAGCACTTTTGAGTCCTAGTAGCAAGTAGAAATTATGTAACAAACAAGCGAAAGATTACATGCAGTCTCTTTTATAAACCTGTGTTTCAGTCCATGACTCCATGGTAACAAAAAAGAAAACAGGCTCTAGGAAATCAATGAAAAACAAGACCTCAATATGAACTTTCTAACTACTAGTAGTATGTGGATATTTTAACAAACAAGTGGAAAAAAATGCTCACAACCACTAACATAAATCCATATACACATGAGCATTGCAAATAGGACAGTGCCTCTACGGTAGCACCCCTAAAAGAGTCGAACCAATTATTGGGAATACCCCTTACATTGTATGTCTTATTAAGCTAGCTCTCATCCAAAAAATCCTTGACAAAAGAACCAGTGACACACAGGTTTTCCCCAACCTTCGGTATTAACGAGGGTGTTGCTCATTAAGTCCAATCACAAATTAAATATATAAATTAAAACTCCTTGTTTATACCTTTTGTTGCCAACAGAATTGATGTGCATAGAACTATCCATCTGACCTCATACATATTTCAAATGATCCAAGGGTAAAAAATAAATACAATAATTAGAGCCATCATCACATCCAATCTCCGTCTAAACATGCCCTAATGCAATTTATTAACAGCGAGAGATTGAGTTCGACAATTTCACAGCTCGGCACATAGACACACGCACACGCACACGCACATACAAAACCCAATTACAGAACCTTTGAATCAATTAATCCATTTCAGATACATACAAAACCTAATTATAAGAAACTTTGAATCAGCTAATCCATTTCAGATCGAATAATCATTTTAGTACATCCAACAAGAACATCTAACCAGCTGAAGAATGTAGATCTGTACCACAATAATTAAAAAAGAAAAAGAAAAACCTAAATACATAAATTTAGAGAGAGAGAGGGGGAGGGAGGTGTTGTACCAGACTGAACTTGGTTTGAAGAGTGGTGTTCACTTCGTCAAAGACACGGCGGAGGTTAGCGAACTCCTTGCGAGCCTCAGCTGAGACGAGCATCTTTGCCATACCATCCCAATCGATACTCTTCGACGCCTTAAAAGTTACGTCTGCGATTTTCTTCCCCGTTCCACTCATTTTTTCTCTCTCTCTCTACAGATACACACTTTCTCTCTCTACAATGGAAGACGGTGAGCTCAAAATGCCTCTCAAATCTCCAACGCCACAACTCGGACCCTTAAAATGTATGACCAGCGCTAGGGAAACGAAACGATGCAATTATTTTTTATTTTTTATTTTTTCAGATTTTTTATTTTACTTTGAGAAATGATAATCACACTGTTCACACCTCATTTTTTCACTTATTTTCTACTTTAATTTAAAAACAAATAAAATAACAATTTCACAGTTACCAAAGTGACATATTTTATGAGAGGGGGAGGAAATAACAAAATTACAGTTACAATATATTTTTAAAAATAATTGTAATGTAAGTAATCCGTAGTATGTTTTGAGGGCAATTATGTCTTTCTATTTCTATTATTAAGTAGAGTGCAAGTGGAGATAAATAAATTGTGAATTTCTTGATTTTTCTTTTTGAAAAAATTTAAATAAAAAGGAGTACATTTTATTTGGTACACTTTAATAATAATCAGAATAGACTCTCTCTGAGTACTTATTTAAATAGTTGAGTCAGTTTTTATATCATATTTTTTATAGAAATAGAATTATTAACAAAAATTTATGACATGGCAATGACTTTAATTAAAAAATATAATACATAATGAATTAGTGACTATTTTATGTTAATATGACAGTTAATTACTTTGTCATGTAAGTTGTGGTTATAACTGTGCATGTCCATTGGTTATCAATTTACTGTAGGCAAGTAATAGATCTTTTTATATATTTTGTTTTGATTTATTATTATTCTAAAGAATAAATGAATGCTTTCTCCTTTGAATGTAGTGAGCAAAGAAAAAGAATGGACGGCAATTCAAGCATGTAAAATAGGCATGACAATCAATTTTTTTTTAATTTCACAGCCATATATAATGTGTAATATTTTTTTTATCTCTAGCAATTTTTAAAAATATAGTGACACGTCATCAATGTGTAAAATTATTGTGTATTTTATACTGCCCTTTTACACGACATCACCATATTTACCATATATTAAGTATGTTTTTAATAGTTATGTGGGGTTTTGACATGACACGTGCAGATATATTTTTACACAAAATGTATAAAATAATGGCTGGAACTAAAAATGAGTAGTTCAAAATTTTTGTATAAATCTACTATTACACACCAGATTTACAAAAAATATATATATATACAACCTTTGGAGATACTCTAATATTCTTCTTTATAAATTACCTTTTGAATTTATTCAATTTTTCCTTTTCTTTTTTAAAAGGTCGTGAGCGAAAAACTCTACTATGGCACATAGGGTGTATAATTTTCTATACGTTCTAAAAAATTCTTAACATTCAATTTTTGAGCAAATATGGCTTTAATATAAAAAGATTAGAGTGTCTCTCTATAACTGAATAAATAAAGGATAAAAAAATAATTAAATATGGGATGACTAAAGTGTCCCTCTTTTTTTCTTTTTTCTTTTTTCTTTTTTTCTTCTACTTATATATAATTACATTTTTAGAAGAAAAAATAATATTTTTAAAATTTTATATCTTAAAAATGTCACCTGCATTTTGTAACCAAACAGTACCCAACATTAGGGGTGGTTTTCTCAATCCCTTTTTTTAATCTAGCTCCTACCCTGTGACAAGCACAGTTTCAACAATGTTGCTGGACAATGATAACTGGACTTTACCTCAAAACCTCGGAGGTTTTTGCTAGCTACTCACTTTTGTCATTTTAAAAAAAAAAAAATTTATTTTAATACATTTTTTTAATTTTTTATTAGAAGTGCTTAAACTTTTGACTTTGATCTTTTGTGTTAATGAACAAACATGAAATTAACTCAGTTAAAATTATCGACTGTCCATGTTTCACCATCCTCTGGTTTGGATAACCAATAATGATAAAAAGATGAACACTCACTGGCATTTGGGATCACTGAATCCAAGCCTGAAAACAATTTAGATCTCCTCCAATTCCATTTTAAAAGCACACATCTGGTACTTTCAAACATAATAGTTTTATGTTTTATTTGGGAGTACTGAATCGGTGTTTTCGATTTGGAATTGGAAAAAATTTAGTTCAAAATTTTAACTAAATTTCTTCAAATCCTAAATCCAAATTGCCGATTCGGTACTCCCTATAATTGTTAAAGGCTCAAGGCACACTAAGGCGCCAAATGCCTTCTGGAGCCTAAGCGCAAGGCGCAGTAGAAGGCGCGAGCCTGATCAAAGTAAGGCGCGTGTATATAATAATGCATATTTAAACATATATTATTATATATATTCATAATCAAGCGGTAATTGCAGTTAATGTAAGTATTGAACCATAAATTCATGATCTTTGTCAAATATTTCAGAAGGTTAAACAAAAAGATAGATGATATAAAACCTTTTTAATTTACTAGTCATCAAGTACAAAAGAAAATGATATAAATAAATGATTAAAAAATACAAGGAGTACCCTTTTTTTTTTAGCCTGGAACCTACTAAAAAGTGTGATCGTTTAGGCTTTACGTGAGCCTGATTGAAAGGGCCTGGCCCGTCGTAGGTTGAGGTGTTATCTGAGCCTTGACGAGCTTGGACTTTTTTGGAGCCTAGCGCGCCTTTAACAACTATGGTGCTCCCAAACATAACATTAGTGTATTTGAAAATGATTAGTGGAAAATAAAATCATTTTTTCTTTTTAAAACCGACAAGATAAGAACAAAACAATGAACTCAAAACACTATTCAAGGGGTTACCCTCCTCTTCTCCTCCTCCTCCTCCTAAACCCATTCAAATACATTCATTTTTACCTTCGCAAGAAACATCACCCACTCATTTAGCGCTACGGGGACTCGAAACCTTGACCTTCTACTAAACAAATACAAGATAATGGTCTGCTTTCCCTCCAACCTTCTCAATCCAAAAGTAGATAGGGAATTATAAAATAAAGTTCTTCAGCAATAAATAAATAAATAATCCTTTACCATTCCTCAACAACCAGAAAATTAACCAAAAATAGAGGTGGGAGTGGAAAAATCAAGCCTGCACACATTTAAAATGACAGAAAAAGGCCACTGTCAGCAAATCCTCAATAAGCATCTGATTATTTTGATCCTTCCAGCATATATAAACATTGTTCTAGAGAAGATAAAAAAGGGAGAAGGGGTGGAGGCAGTTGGAGTCGATGGGCTATATAGCCTATATACCAGCAAAATATGTTAATCTGAACCTTCAGTGTTAATCATCACCTTCTAATCTTTCTATGCTACCTAGCCCTATCACGTTCGTCAATTGTGTATAATGTTGCGCTCATCCCAGATTGGACAATTACAAGTTGCTTTCTTGTTCTTCCACTCTGCTCCACAAGTATAGCAGAATTCATATCCACATCTGCAACAACAATGCAAGCATAAGGCATTGTTTAGATATTGGTATAAATAACAGAAACGGCAATCAGAAACATTTTACTTTGTGTATATTTGATTTATAAATGGTTTTCCTCTCCAAATACTAATGAATACATGATATCCAAAAAAAAATTGGAAAAAGATGGACGGACAAAATCATACAAGGTCATTCATCTTCAAGATCATACCACAACAATCACCCAATAAATTCTTATTTCTTATTCTAACCAAGAAAAAGGTAAATAAATCCAAGCCAACAGTTACAATGATCTCATATATTCTAAATCTCCTAAACTTCTTTAAACTGGATGCAAGAAATATAAATTAAAACCGACAAGACAAGAACAAGACATTATAGTACCTTTATTTGCGCGCTCTCTCAACTTTCCTAGTGTCATTGTAGTGCCTTTCAGCTTAAACCAAGTAGCTATTATACACACACACACAAAAGGGTAGATGCTACTTGCTGTTGCAGTCGTCATTGTTTTTATCAAAAAGGCCAAATAATCAAGAAAACTATTTCAGCTTGTTTGCAATTCACATTACATTATGATTTAGGTTTCAAATGGAAGAGTACAATAGAGTATAGACTTCAGAAAGGTAATGTCCATCATGATGTTGTCTAAAATTAACATTTGATGCTTAGTAATCGATATTTTATGGATTATAAGAGGAATGCATCACACAGTTGATATGCTGTGCATCTGGTTAAAAGAAAAAGGTCAAAAAGAGAGTAAGTCATTGGAAAGAGATAAGGAGGTGTAATTTGTCCGAGACTGCTATGATTGCTATCTGATTTTTTTCTTCTATCCCTCTCCCTCTCTTAACAATATGCTGAACCCAAATAGATGGTACAAGGCTTGGGTGAGGCAAATTGAAAGCCATTGCCACTCCGCCAACACCACCAATATTGAATCTATTATTTGATAGTTGTCCTTGATATTGAAGCAATTTATGTGACATTCTTAAGATGGAGAAATAATCAGAATTATAATTATATTTTTAAGAAGGACAGCATCGTTTCAGAGCATAACTCTGGCTAGGGGAGGAATGCTCATGAAGATCAGAGCACACTTCCATCCCCGGAAGTAGTTTCAACACAGTTGATTACTGTATATTGGTTGTTAACTTCTGGAAATGACACTTTGTTCATCTTCTACTAATATCTTCCATTTTGAAACGTGTCTAATACAACATATCAGACTGGCGGGGGGTGGAACAAAATACCTGCAATAAATGTGGTAGCAACCTTCTGCAAGTTCAACCATATGGTTGCATTTCACACACTGCCGCCAGGCGTTCCTTCTTGCAACAGACTTCAGTTTTGCATCTTCTTCACATGGATAAGGATTTAACCTTTTGTAATCATAGCAGGTCATGTTATTATGCCAAGCAACCTTGCAATTCACACAGAAAAAGCCACCACATTTTGCACATTTTCTGGCTCCAACTTGAGCACCTGCAAATACATTAATGGCACTCCCTATCATCTCAATTTTTGACATTAATGCCGAGCACCTAGGATTTGGGCAATAGACTTTATCTGTTGCAGGAATGGAAGCTTCCTTTATGTGCTGGCTCATAATATCATATAATTCAGATGTCAAGAACTTCCTGCAGCTCTCAATTTTCAGCAGAGACTTGCATCCTTCATGAGGGCATTTAGGTAGCATCCCTTGATGCAGCTTAACTTCAACATGCTGTTTCATACAAGAAAAGCAGTACCGGTGCAGGCAATAATCAATCCAAAACATCTGAGTAACATCAGTATCTTCCGTACATATTACACAAATCTCAATCAAATTCTTGCCGTGGCTATTTTCTGCTGGCCGGGTGATCTGAGAAACTATTGCATCCCTTGCAAGTTCAAATGCAAACTTGATATCGTTTTGTGCCACGAGAGATGAATTGCAACATGTAAATTTTCTACGGAGAAGAGTCACCTGTTCAACTAAGGCAGCAATGTTGCATTGTCTTGGGCGCCCTTGACCGGTGAGCTGGATAGCAAAATACAACATCAAAGACTTATATATTCAGGTTTTCTATGACTTATCAACGCTATTAGTTGCTAAAGTGCAACAGTAATGGCCTTAAAAACGAGTTTCCTAGACACTGCAAACATTACTAAATTGACAAACAAACATAATTATAACGATTGTATAATTAATACCTATCTTGCCCAAAAGGATTTTTGAATCCTTCAAATGTAAAAGAATGCACATCCATCATCAACACCTAGCTTGCCCAAAAGGATATTTAAATCCTTTGAATGAAAAAGGATGCACATTCATTATTAAAAATTAAAAACAAGGAATTTATTAAGATACATTGCAGCAGAAATTTCAACACAGTGACAACATGAAAATTCCTAATTTGACATAATAATTTAACAAATTAATCTTATCGGTCAACAATTCAGACGACATGATGCAGATTAGGCAAACACCGAAAAGGCAACTGGAGATATGCTTTCCAGTTGTTTCTACCATGCAGCTTAATCATATCAAGAAATTTCAGAAAAGAAGTCTAGAAAATGGCATAAGAATTGCATATGAATTGCTTGTTTCACTGCCAAATGGTTAGCCTGGGGCTGTAATTTTCTCCTCTTTTAGTTCTTAAGGATACATATTGTTCAAGAAAATTTCGGGAAAGTGATGAGATAATAATGGTGAGAAAAAGGCAGGGAAGGGTAGAGAAATTTAAAAGAAAAATTACTTCTATTTATTGTGAAAAAATGAAAGTGGAAAAAATTATGAAATACTGGAAGGTAGACGAAATTATGAAATAATGAAAAAGTTAGTAATTTCTTTCGTTTTGTTTTGATTTTTACAAATCTACCCAACAGACTATTTTTAAGCTATAAGGACTGCTTTATAAGTTTTCTCCTAAATTTTTCCTATTTCCTATTGTTTCCACAACCAAAAAAGAGAAATGCAAATAATTTATTTAAGTAAAAACAAAGAAGAAATCTCCTTTTTTTATTTTTTATTTGAGAGGTCTTAGCAATTTCATTACATCTTATTTACGGCTCTTTGCAACTCATTTGAGACTCTATTGTGTAAGGAAGGTAGACGAAATTATGAAATAATGAAAAAGTTAGTAATTTCTTTCCTTTAGTATTGATTTTTACAAATCAACCCAACACTAAAGAGACTATTTTTAAGCTATAAGGACTACTTTATAAGTGTTTTCCTAAAATTTTCCTATTTCCTACTGTTTCCACAACCAAAAAAGAGAAATGCAAATAATTTATTCAAGTAAAAACAATGAAGAAATCTCCTTTTTAAAAAAAATTTGAGAGGTTTTAGCAATTTCATTACATCTTATTTACGGCTCTTTGCAACTCATTTGAGACTCTATTTGTGAACAGGGCTGGAGAAAAGGCAGACTAGGTTCTTCCAAGTAGCTGTACATAAAATAGCAAAAAGGGAAGCTTTGCTAAAATGTTGGCCCCTTTGCTGTTGCCATATGTTAGTTCTTCGAAGAAAAGGCATGCACATATTCAAAAAAGATACATACTAGTCGGGTTTTAATTCTAGATGACTGAAGTGCAAAACTCGTTTTTTGTGGATGTCATTTAAAATCCAAAGCCTCACGCATTTGCTATCAAGTAGTCAATGCAAAATTAATCACCAAAGAGAACTTTTAAAATCAAAAGATACTTTAATTAAAAAAATTAAGAATAAAAAATAATAATAATTTCTTGGGAAATATATGCATCTTAGTTCTCCCAATGCTGTCATCAATGGTCTAATAAATTTTCTTTTTTGATAAAGTTACAAGTTCTTTCCAACAGATGTGATAATAAGGTTACATGGCATACTAGACCACCTCCATAAATCCAAGAGTTTGCAGATCAACTCTTTTAAATTTAAACTTATTTAGAGGCTCCTATTACAAAAAACAATGTCAAGGACCACACATTCTTTTGGATTTTGAGTTACTTTCATAAACTTGTCAAACTAATTTGCTATTTCAATTAAACAACGATGGTTAAGTTTGCCACCATGGACTAAAAAGCCAATCAGAAAATTGTCCGAAAGAAAATCCATCTCCATGTTAGTTTTAAAAATTCAAACCAAACTCAAGATCCTCTACCTAGTATATGTCTTCATAATGCAATGTGCTAATGAACTTGGTACATATCCAACCTCCAGATTCATTCGTTCCAATTAGCTATCTGAGGTTTTCTAATCCAATGTGCTAATGGACTGGGTACATATCCAACCCCCATTACAGGGTGCGGAGAGGGTTAGACTTAAGCAGCCTTACCTCGGCACCGGGAGAGGCTGTTTGCCTGATTCCAACCCATGGAACTACCTTACATGTTTCTGTCAGGGACTTTGGTGGTATCAAACTGCTTAAATATATCAAACTAGAATAGCAACATACATGTTTCAGACAATACAAGCACACAAACAAACATACATGTTTCTTAATAGTTCAAATTCAATAATTTGCCTCAACCCATTACCCACCCACACAAAAACATAAATACAAACAATATATTTGCGTCCATGTATTAACAGGGAAGGGTGTCTCACATATTGGAAGAGCGTATTGTCATCACAGTAAATGGTGACCCTCTTTAAACCCAGAGTGACAGCCGCATTGAGGCCTTCGATCAACGCTTCCACCTCCGCCGATTCGCCGCTCGTCTCGCAGCCACCCAAAGGCTTCCGAAACTCAAAAATCGGATCATTTCTCAAACCGCAAATCGCAACCCCAATCGAAGCCAACACCTTCTTCTCACCCCCAACCGTCTCTTCGCTAACCAAACCCTTGAAATACAACCTAAAAGTCTCGGCATTGGCCTCTCCCGCCGCCGAGGTACCCTCGCCGTACGGTCTGTGGAAATGATCGCCGGTATTGATCCACTCCTCCTCGGGCACACCGAGCAGGTCGCGAGCGAATATCTGATCGTGCATTTGACGGTCGATATCGTCGCGCATTCGCCTCATCTCGGCTTCGACCTGCTCTCGATCGCTGCGTTCTTGCTCGAAGCGATCGATCTCTTCGGCGAGGAAGTGAGCGAGGACGGAGCCTGTAACGTCGTCGTCGTCGTCTTCTGGGAGGTGAACTTGCGGAGGCTGCGACGACAACGACGACGACGAGGAAGAGGAGGGTTGAAGAGAGAGAGAGGCGTTCATGGCCTCTTGCATTTGAAGCTTGAAGGCTATGTCGAGGTCGGAGTCTATGGCTTTGACCGCCATAATTTCACGCCGTTGCTCTGAGAGCATGCTCTGCAGTTCGTCAGTTTCCATTTTCGCGCCAAATAAGGAAAAGCAAAAGCAAAAGCAAAAGCTGCAAAACTATTTCTCACTCTCTCTCTTGGTTATGGGCTGGGTAAGGAGAGGAGTAAGGACTGAGGACTGTTGATATTCTCTATTCTTAATGTTGAAGAAATAGAAGATAAAACGACGACCAGGTCTTCTTAGAAAGAAAATATGACATTAGAGGAGGGGGGAGAGAGAAGAAAAGAAAAGAGAAGAGAGGATAGGTGTAATTGGGATGACTAAATGGGTAGATATGTAAGCAGCACATAATAGTTTAAGTTTTTTTTTTTTTTTTTTTGTCTTGGATAAATGGTAAGAGTTCATTTGTTATAAGAACTACACTTAATCATTGATCCGGTGTTACGAAGTCATCGGGGTATGTCATTCGGGTAGGCAAGGTGGTCCTGACTGTAACGAAAACGTTGTGAATTCGGGTGAGGGAGCTTGTCATACATTGAATCTGGATAAAAAATAATTATTTTATTTCATTTATCACAATATTATTTTCTATATATATTTTTATAAAAATAATTATAAATTTAATATTAATAAAATTTTATTAAAAATACTTTTTATTTTCTTACTTTTATATTTGAAAGAATAACAAAATAAATTGATCAAGTTTTAATGCATTTCTCCATATCCTTCTATTTTTTTTTTTTTTTCTGTCTTTTAAAATTTTATACCAAATTTAAAAAATTATATCCTTTCATTTTCTTTCTTTTCATTCCTATCCACCCCAACTGGGCCCTAAAGAGGTTTTTTTTATGCCCAGAGTCCCACACGAGGAGAATATATATGTCTGTGTGTATATATATGTATAGGGTCAGGAAAAAGACGAAAATATTGTAAAGCAAAAATAAAAGGATTGTATCAACCTTTTGCTTTTATGTGGGGATAAGTCATAATCACATTCCACTCAAAATTCTAATTAATAAAATGATACAATTATTCTTTAAAGTAAGATGTGCAGTACATTTTAAAGTCATTCAAAAAATTACTTTAATTTCTTTTTGAATAATTAAAAATGAATGAATAAATAAATAAATCAATAGTGGTGTTTTTTGTCAACAAAAGAAGAAAAATACATTTTTTTTTTAAACAATTGATAAGGGCAAACTGACAATTCATTTATTATGAAAAAATAAGGACAGAACTAATAATAATTACTAACAATTGACATGTTATAATGGGATTACTATTTTAAAATGAGATTTATATTGCTTGAAATTGACAGAATGGTTATGAAATGGTTATGAAAAATGAAACTAAATTTGAAGTTTAAAATATTTTTCTTCTTGTAAAATGATTGAAATATTCTTTGAATTTGTCAAAAAGCTCTTTAACCTCAAGAATTATATTAAAAGACTAAATTATCCCTAAATACTTTATAAATTTACAACTATATGTGTGTGTGTATATATATATAGCTATACATATTTGAGGCAATTGGATACCCTTATTAATACTTCCAAAGCAAGAGAGGCAAAAAAAAGTTTGAACAGAAGTGAAAAAAAAAATATAGAAAAAAAGATGCCTAGTTTATCTTATATATTACTCATACGTTTCTTTCTTTTTTTCTTCCGAGTAATGCAACTACGAGGTCTCCCACGTGAGATTTTGACTGTAGATGTTGATTAGTATATTTTAAAAATTTTGAAATGAGAGTTTGAATGTTCGATCATCATATACACTTTAAAAACACAATTTATCTAAAGTTCAATAAGATAAATTAAGAACATAAACACAAGTAAAAAATTATGACCAAAATAATTTTTTTTTTATTATTATCAATTTTGAGAAGGCGCATGTTTCTAATTACTAAAAAAATTGCACATATACAAAATAAATATATTAAGATTTTTTAAAAACAAAAATATATAAATACTGCCCCATGTTCACAACCCATAATGTTTTGAACTTGGGGATTCACCCATGCTTAAAACAACAAAACATCATATGTAGTCTTAGCAAAACAAACAAAGTTCATGATATATCAATATAAATATATATGCATGTAAAGTTTAATTTCCAAATAGTAGCCTCCTTGTAGTTCCTCTCCTTCACTGAATCTTTCCTCCATTTTCTTTGACTCCTCCAATCAGGGCCGGCCTTGAGATTGACAAAATTTTAAGAGGCCCTAGGCGAACTTAAATTTGAGGTCCTTTAATTACTGAAATACACACTAACATAAAGTAGTAAAAGACCATATTCAATTTCGAATTTAATCACTAAGTTTTTAAAGGCTCTAATTTTGAATGGGCCGTGAATTTGTTTAATCAAAGGGCCTAAAGTTTTATTTTTATTTTTATTTTATTTTTTATTCGGCCCTATCACTCATGGAAAGGGGGCTTAAATTTTTTCTTTTTATTTGAGTCAATCACTCATGGTAAGGGGCCTAAATTTTTTTATTATTATTATTTTTTTTTTATAACCTATTACTAATGGGCCCAAAAATTTTGAGGCCCTCTAAATGTTGAGGCCCCAGGCGACCGCTTTGGTCGCCTTGGGCCAGGGCCGGCCCTGCCTCCAATCTGAACACATATAACATAGAATGCAATTAGAAGACATTCAATAATATAACAAAGCTTGAGAACCATACAAAAGACACAAAGTATTTATTACAGTAAATAATGTTTAGGAAGAAGATGACAGAACCAACCATTAAGTTTAAAATTTTATCATATAAGTATTATAACATCTTACTTTGGATTTTGTTAATGACCTAATCTTTTACACAATAAGTTATGTTTATTGACTCTCCAAATGATGCAAAACTTAATAATGTGGCAGTCGTAAATTGTTAAGAGAATTTAAATATTTAAATTACACCGTTACTAACAGCTGAAGCTTTTAACATGGTATCAGAGGCTAATATTTAATAAGTATGAATAAAAATAATAATAATTTTTTCTCGACAACCAAAAAAATTATACATATGACAGTAAAGAAAGTTAAATTTAAATTCATTATTTGTGTTAGTTCACACCCATCTCAATGATCTGCAAGGACACCAAATCACACCCAAATAGTAAGGTTTAATCTTTTTTATTTATTTTTTATTGTTGGAAATGTATCCTTTTCGTTTTTAGACCAAAATTTTAGATTTACTAGGCTCCTTGAGGAATTTGATCAAAGCGAGTAGAGAATAAATGAGTGATTGTGCATGCAAAGATGACTATTTACCTCGATCGATCACGGTCAAAAAAAGGATCCATCTTAGAAACTCATATACTGTCTATGTCCGCCATCATTGCTAGTAGTATCAGGATTCCATGGCGTGGAGAACAAACAATCCTTTTCTAAGAAAGATAATAGATCTGAACAATCAAAATTCTCAAGTAGAAAGCAGTATCATCTGACGCAAAACAACGTACACATATACAAAAGACCAAGTTAATTTTAGAGTAATATATATGAGAGAGCTCTTGAATTTCAAAAAGTTCTGAGAATCTTACGTTTTCATAACCTAACAGGTTATTGCATTTGTTACAGTGAAGACAATTAATTGTATGGTTTTTAGAGATTCGTGATAACACATTTCACCTGTATATCATGTGCAAAACCATACACAAATTTGAATTAGGCATGGAATCAGTACCATATACAAATTTCATTTAATTTTGAAGGTTTGTCTGAGTTAAATAAAAATAAAATTATAACTTAATGATCGAGATCTTACATTTCACTGAAGTGGGCTAATTCAACTCCTGGGGTACCCTTCATAAAAATAAAATAAAAAAAAATGTGAAAATGCAGAATAGATAGAAAGTGAAAGATGGTGAAGGATGATGATAGCTATGTACATCATAAATGTTGGAGTTGCACTGCACAATCAACCGAATTTGATTCCAGTTGTTGTAGCTGAAATGCAAAATAAACAGCACTGTTCAAGGAATAATCAAACAATCACAAAGAAAAAAATATCACACACAAGAATACAAGATATACATGACTCACCCAAATCTTAGGGCTATGTCCATGGAGCACACCGAACAAATTCACTGTGAAAAAGATGAAAAATTACAAGGAGAATTCTCTCTCTTGTATTGGCACAAATTTTTCTCTAATTTTCATATACTCTAAAATCTGATTAGAGTTGATATTTATAGAGTTCCAAACTTGTTCTACAAGAACTTGCCTTTTTGTAGAATCTAAAACCAATAAGGAAGTTAAATCGTGGAAACTGAATTTTTCATAAACCAATAAGAAAGTTAAAGCAGATTAGGAAACTGAATTTTCCCTAAACCAATAAGGAAGCTAAACCAGATCAGGAAACTGAATTTTCTCTAAAATTCAGTACTCTTGAAGTTTCCATATAATTAAATCTTCTTAAAAACCAATTACCTAATTAGACTCCATAAAACCACAACAATCTCCCACTTGGAGGCTGGAGCACTTGTAAACCCATTCCATCTTCTTCTCATGCATGTCGGTGTGCTTCTCTTTCTCTTCAAGCTAGAAGACCGACTGAAGTTACGCACAACTTCAGTTTCTCCATGATCACTATCTTGGTCAACATATCAGTCGGATTCTTAGTGTAAAGTATTTTCTCAAGTGTCAACACCCTATCTTCTAACAAAGATCTGATAAAGTGATATCGAAGTCCTATATGCTTGGTCCTTGAATGAAATGCTGAATTCTTTTCTAGATGTATCGCACTTTGACTATCACTGTGCAAAACATTATTCACCTATTCGAATCCCAACTCTGTCAATAAACCTTGTAACCAAATCATCTCCTTGCTGGCTTCTGTCATCGCCACATATTCTGCCTCTGTAGTAGATAACGTTACAATCCTCTGTATTTGCGAAACCCAACTAACTGCAGTTGTACCCACCATGAACACATACCCGGTAGTACTTCTTCTATGGTCCACCTCACCAGCAAAGTCTGAATCTACATAACCATGTAGTTTCACTTCACCCCTTCTGAAGGCATCTGTCTGTGGTACCCCGTAGATGTCTCAATATCCACTTCACTGCTTCCCAGTGTAGTTTGCCTGGATCTTTCATGAACTTGCTTACTACTCCTACTGTATATGCAATGTCTGGTCTTGTGCACACCATGACATATATCAAACTTCCAATGGCTGAGGCATATGGAATTTTAGCCATGAAGTTTTTCTCATCTTCTGTCTTCGGACACTGAACTTGGGATAAGCAGAAATGATTAGCTAAGGGAGTACTCACTGCCTTAGCATTCTTCATGTTGAACCTCTTCAGAACCCGTTTAACGTACTCAGTCTAAGACAACTGCAAAGTACCTTTCTGTTTGTCTCTGCTAATCCTCGTCCTAAGAATCTGCTTCGCTGCACC